TAAGCTGGCTGAGCAGGTATAACTGCACCAGCTTTCACCTCAACACTTCATTCCAGCTTCAGCGTTTAAAAGTGGGATGGGTCCAGCTGGCTCCAGAGAGCGCTTCTGGAGCATCGAGTACATCAGTACGTCCAAAGACAACATTTAGACTCCCTTTCCAAAAGCGTTGGTAGCAAAAACAAGTCACCTTAGGATTTTTGGATTTTGTTTTAAGCTAAAACACCTTGAAAACTAAATATCAGTTACTGCGCATTTGCCAGAAAGGCGTAGTCCAAATTTTAAAAGAACTGTCTAATTTTGTGTTGCCTTGGAAATCTAGGGAGTATGATTTCTGGCCATCAAGCTCACTTTGCATTTCTCTTTATTCATTGCTGTCTTAATTTAAGTATCGCTCAGAAAAGCGCAATAGCTCTGGATTATTCAAAGTTGGTCCTATCGACTATTAGCTGATTAGTAGATCCATGGTACTCTAAGCAGCACACGCTACTATTAGTCTAATAATAGTACTTTGTATATCCAGATCCTCTTGCACCAAGGAATATCAATGTTTTATACACACTGTAGAATTAACACAACCCCTCATTTTTATCTGTCATTTGGGAAACCAAAGCATTGTGATTTACACAAGTCTATCCTCCAGCCCGAACAACGTGCTTCCATCTCCTCGGGAGCCGTTTCGCTGTTGCCCCTGCGAAGCTCACGCGCACCCTTGCACAGATCCTTGCTTCCCGATCGCTGATGCAGCAAAGCTCTTCTTTCTTATAACTCTTTTTGGCTTTACCAGTTTACACTGTATTACAAAGTGCTGATTTACATTAAGCTCTTTGAATAAAGAAACAGATGTATTGCCCTTCACTATGAAGTGCAGGCTCTTATTTACAGTCTAGAGTGCCAAACTAATAATACAGAATAATACAGGAAACCAGAAAAACGGTTGGAGAAATAAAATAGGCAATTTTTTTTTTTAATCCTACTGCCTTGCTAATCTCCCCAAAATCAGCACAATTTAAAAATATATATATTTGGGGAAATGGTAAGTAGCACAGAACTAAGACAACACGCAAACTCCTGACTCTACTGAATGAAATGAGATTTTTGTCATTAACTTCAATGAAGCCAGTGTTTCAAAAGTGTCTTGACAACAACTTCAGTACATGCTTCTTAGATGACTTCTCTCCAATGGTCTTAAATGGTCCCAGGATGTGCTTTCTTCCACTCCCATTGTAATCAGTGTTGTATTTGCTATGGTTCTCAGTGAGAGCAGAATTGGGCCCTAGGCTCTGAAATAAAAATCATCTTGAAGTAAATGGGTTGCTGTGTATCTGACCTCTTCTCTCATTGGTGTGAATAAAGTACAGGAATGGAAACCTCAGATCATCCCTGCTGTTTGTGCAAAGAGAGTTTGTTGGGTTTTTTCCTGCCAGAAGATTAATAGGTAGCAAGTTCAATATCGTTAGGTATTTAGTTTTCCTTAATTGTTCCAGGAACTCATCTACAGAGAGCGATGCATCACATCTGGAGGTAGCAATTTACCTTTCAGAAATCAACAAAATCTGCACACTCCTCTTGGGTTTAGGAAAAAGGTGCACGCACAACTATTCCTGCTACTCAAGTTCCTGTGACAACTGAACGCTTTAGGGGGTTCTGAACTATCTGTAATATCACTTCCAATGTTTTCTTTGGCATTCACTAAGTTTTCTTCAATATCTTCTGTCTAGATAAGCTAATCTTTCTTAATACATATGAAAACACGCCCCAGAAATCTTGCAATAGACTTGTAGCTTTTCATTTTATTTTAAGCCTGAAGGTTCATACTTGTTAATAATTTGGTGGATCCTGATAGTTCTGCAGCCTGGAGAACAGACAACAGATGGCCCAACCTCAGCATTAAGCATTATTCCTTCTGTACCTTGCAGGAATTCAAGAGATTCTTATTTTAGAAATATTTTTTCTCCTTCCTGCCTGAGCACTGGTCATCTATTTTATCTACTTTTCCATCACATTGCACGAACCTGCATGCAGTACGGCAGGAAGAAAGACCCTATTCCATGGATCAGACTCTTCATTATTTGTACTTTTTGTTAATGTTTTCCTAATATTCCTCACATTTTCATGAATGAAACCACAGAAAAGAAGAGTGAGCAGATGAAGAGTGAGTAGGCAGCGTAATAAGTTTTCTCCGTCAGATCCTCATTGGCTTTACACAAGCACGGAGCATGGTCACGGAGGTACAATGAAACGACCTATACGGAGAGCAAATCAATGTCCATACCAACTGAATTCTGCGGGATTCGTCCTTCGAAGCGTACAACAGCATCCTTCGGAAAAGGATCATTCAGAAAAAGAAATGCACTAACTCTTGCACTGTAACCTCAGCTATCGGGTCGTTTTACTGGAATAAAGGATGTATCCGCTGCAGGATCCCGACAACATCTATTCCACTGGTACCAAGAGCCTGGGAAGAGGATGAAGGGTGGCCAGCAGCTCCCTGTTCTGGGCTGCCCCTTGAGGCTTGCGCTCTCCTTCACAGCACGTGCAACTGCTTGCCAAAAGGCTGAAGCTTATTGGCGTTTTAAGGTTTCAAACCTCTTCTGGGTTCTGGACCGAAGAAATCCAGTGCCCAGTAACAGCCGTGGACATCGGCTGTGTGCAGTTGGTCCTTTTTCGAACGGAAAAGAGGAAGCTGGGCTGCCGGTTTCTCCAGGCAACTGTCCTGCGTGCGGCAATGAGCTGGCAGTTCCCCTTTCGCAGTTTCACCCCGCCGCGATCGCTCACCCGCTCCCCCTGTCGGGAGCAGCCCGCCGCCCTCCAGCGCCTCGCACACCCCCCGTAGCACTCGTGTCGTGCATACCGTGATGCTGCAACCCTATCAGCGCCTCGTGATTTTTTCTATTGTTTGATTTCGGGTATATTTGGATTCAGGATACTTCTTTGATACTGGTTTTAGGTCACTTGCTACTACTGTAGAGAATCTATGCAAAACGCAGGCTCACTTTTGGGTCCTAAAGCAGATGATGCTAAAAAAATGGTCTGTTTCTGGTAAATTGTCTCCTCGCGCTTACAGTTGCACCCTCTGCCTTTAGTTTCGAGGTTTATCTTTTTACCCCCAAATCAAAGAAAATTCACATCTGTGGCAAGCAGACATCCATAAATACCCTATGCGTACACGAACCCGTACAGACTGCAATGCGAGTCGTCTTACTATATACTAAGACCCCATGCAAAATGGTTAGATCGTTCAACCTATTCAGGTGCAACGCCATTTTGAACTCTGAAACAATTTCTAACTTCCTTCCAATAATACCAGACCATTCAAGTACAGTAAGACTGAAAGAAAAACTAAAAGCAAAACGCAACAAAGAAAAGGATGAGACCCAGCACAGAAGCAGACTGGGAACTCCAGGTGCCCCAGATGCACAGAAGGGTCTCACCTGTGGGCTGGTGAGACCACGTGTAAGGGACAAACTCCCAAAGGCTATGCAAGGACTGGGGAAAGGAGTCATCCTGCTAGCTCTTAACAACAGGAAGCAAAAGCATGCAAGGATTTTAAAGCAAAAAAGACTACTTAGAACTGGTTCCTAACATTAATTAAGAGCTACTGCAGCTGTTTTGAATCAGGTAAAGACAGAGTTACATGTGTGATCTTCTGTATTCGCCTGCTCTGGTTATTGCAATTAGTCGAAATCTGTAAGTTTTTTTATTGTCTCAATAAATAGTTATGTATGCGGAGGTGAAACGCATCAGTAAGTTTACTTCCAGGGCTTGGTTTGCAAACTTGCACCTCGGCGGTGGCGGCGACGGCCACGCAGCGCCCGCTCTCGGACAGGCGTGAGTGATGCGCCTGTGCGCGCTTGGAAGGCAAACTTGTATTTAATTTTTCAAATCGCTTCATTTTTCAGTGCTAAATGAAACAAGTTGTGTTTAAGACACACCAGAGTAAGCTGTTTCTCCATATTATCCAAGAACGTGGACATAGGAAAATGATGAAGGGATCAAGTATTCCCCTTTCCTACAGGGAAATAATGTGCATTTTGGGGTTTGGGGCTTTTTTTTTCCTAGCAGATTTACACAGTATAAAGCCTTGAATATTAAGAAGGCTATTAAATTCTTTCAATAGTTTTCGAAAGTAAGAAGCGATGGCACTTTTAAAAAGGAAAGGAAGCCTAACACTCTTCAAAAAACAAGATGAATTTAAACATAACGATTAATATTGCCACTGGAATTAAAAAGAAAGTGTCTTTTAAGGAAATCAATTGTCTTGAAACAAAGCACAGACTTTTGGCTATTGATAGTATTTTTAGACTCAGACTTTCTCTGGAGACTTAAGAGTATGCAAATGCAAAGTGCACAGAGGCACACACACAGGCATGCTATACCTTTGTATTACATTGGCATTTTATTATTTAATTAAACTACTCTTATTTTTCTAGCTCACGCATGCTTCCCTTGAGACGGCTTTGCTGTTAGCCTGCTGGCCTTGACTTCCAGCCAAAAACAATTCGGAAACAAAAAGGGACAACAAATCATATTTCCACAGACATTTTTATCCCTCAATACAACCTTGTTTTCACACAACATCATACAGATTCTATGAAAACTATAATTTACTGCAGTAGCCATCCCAAACTAGGGGCCGGCGCACGCTCTGCGGTGCGCTCCCACCGCCGCCGCGGTCTCTCAGGTTGTGCAGCCAGGAGCTGCGCCGCAGCAGCGCCGCCACCACCGCACAAGCAGCCATAGTCTACAGCCGCTTTCACCAGGGCCGCACGAGGCTACCCCGACTGCTAACAGCCTCCGGCAACCACATCGTGCCTCGAACGTCTCAGGCAAGAAGTTTTAAGACAAACGTTTGCAAACACCGGCTATTTTTAAGGAACGCACGTTCGCTAAACGCTGCTGCGCCTGATGGAGCCTAACTCGAGGATGAACAAGTTGAGGAAACAAACCTCACGCATCAGGCTACTTATCGCAGGCTCTCTGCAAAGCAGATTTCCACTTACCTGGTGGCAACCCTGTAAATTCGAGTCTCTTCCATACGACGAGTATGAACCCCTTTCTGTTTTACCTGGTAATAAAAAATAAATAAAGAATAAAAATTATAACGGACATCAAAAGAGGCGTATGTTATCTCCTCCGCCGCCTCCCGCCCCGCGCCCAACCACCGCGTCCGCCCCGGTCCGGGAGCCAATGCCCTCGCGCGCGCAGGAGACACCCGGCCGGAAATTTGCCCTGCGCTACCAAAGTTGTGCCCGCGCCAGCGGCGCTGGGACGTGGACGGGGGCCCAGCGCCTGCCGAGACGCCGTGCCAGCCCCAAGCGCCTCTGCTTTTATTTTTATAACACGGATCCAACAGCCTGACTGGTTACAGTTATGCCATGCGCCAAAAGGAGAAGAAAGGTCCTTCCACGGCGGGAAGACTGGGCTAGAACAAAACCGAGGAGGAAAGAGGTGGCTGCCGCCACGCACGAAGTCGCAGCTGAGAGCGTCGCACCGCGTGCCGGAGAGACAAAGCCCCGGCAAAAGGGGGCTCCTACAAAACACCCGGGCACCCAAAGCCCACCCTTC